ATATATATATATATATATATATATATATATATATAATATTTAATGACAGGGTAATATATTAATGAGACAAAAGTCATCATAGTTGGGTAAACTTAGAGAGCTGTAAACAGGAGAGTATCACAGATACCTATTTGTATTTCTATTTGTTCTGATAAAAAAAAGATAAAGTCCATGATAGTGATTTTAAGACTTTCCAAAAAAGGTGAAAAAAAATTGTGTGAGCCTGATAATGGCAGCCAGAGGAGAAAACATCATCAAATTTAATGTCGATGCATAGACGATGCATTAGAAATCCTTTGTATAAGTGGTACTTTGTTTATTTATTTGTTTTGTAAATTGATGCAAAGATGATATAATACAAAGCATAGCTTTATAAATGTACAGACATATTAACTATTTCCTTCAAGTAATTAAGATCCGGATGACCATTAAACACCATCCTTGTAAAGATGGTCAATTGTCATTGTCTTAAGATTAGACTATGATATACTGAAAAATGACACTTACTGAAGAGGTAGTTGGTAAGTATTAGAATAAAGCCTTTTAGTAAGTAATGTGCATTATGTTTTTCCTTTTCATTAATTTTATCTCGTGTTTTTCTGTGCTGCGCTTAGACTAAAAGTTGTCCTTCATAGGTTACACAAAATTAAGCTTAACAATGCTCGTTTCAGGTGGTGCAGTTGGTAGCGCTGTCGCTTCATAGCAAGAAGGTCGCTGGTTCAAGCCTCGAAAGGGTCAGTTGGCATTTCTGTGTGGAGTTTGTTCTCACCATGTTCGTGTAGGTTTCCTTTGGCTACTCTGGTTTCCCCCACAAGTCAAAACACATGCGCTTTAGGAGAATTAGGTGAGCTAAATTGCCCGTAGTGTATGTGTGTTAATGGGAGTTTATGGGTGTGATGGGTTGTGGCTGGAAGGGCATCCGCTGTGTAAAACATATGCTGGATAAGTTGGCCGTTCATTCCACTGTGAATGAAGCTGAAAAGAAAATGAATGAACACTTTTTTTATTAGCATGAGACTGCAGTAGTAATAGGTCAAAAAGAGATTCTGTCCAGACCAGATTGGCTCAGAGAGGTGACAGAGTTTTTTATGAAGGTCATCCCTCGCGAAGGGATAGCGTTTTCCCATGCCTTCTCCTCCCCCGATCCAACATAACACGTAAAAACACAGCCCTCTGGACTGTGGCAGGAAGTGGATGAACTTGGAATGCTTTGTTGTGATTGGACAGAATCCCTATGGGATGGCTAAGCAAAGCTGAACCAACATACGCAGCAAGCAGAAGTTCACAGTCAGGGTGTCCCCACTAATCTGTCTCTGTGAAAACACGATGTGGGGGATCCAGACTCGCATTAACACTGTAACCTTGCGTCACAGAATGACGTGTTGGCCCCGCAGAGGCTAAGGGGACTTGACACTGTTTATACAACTAAAGCCTCTGAAATCTGCTAAACACGGGACAATCCCATTTCCCACAGTCTCTTCCACTGCATTTGAAGCCATCAGTAGAAAATAATCATCATCTAGATCTCACTAGAATCATTCATAATTACTGGAAAAAAAATATAACCTTGCACCTCAGAATCAGAGAATGCACTATATTTAGCATTACCATCTGTATTACATTCATTTGTTATATGAGCACCCAAAAGATCCTTGCATCTTCTTCTCTGAAATATATTAAACACAAGACAATACTATTTCCTATAGTCTCTTCCATTGGGTTTGAAGCTGTCTGTAGAAAATAATCATCTAGCTCTCACTTGAGTCATTCATAATTACTGGAAAAAATACAACCTTGCACCTCAGAATCGGAGAATGCACTATATTTAGCATTACCATCTGTATTACATTCATTTGTTGTACGAGCACCCAAAAGATCCTTGCATCTTCTTACATCATATTCCAGGCATTTGAATGTCAAACACAAATAAGGTTTGACATGATAACATGCTCCAAAGTCAGTTCAGTCACGTGCCCAAATGTCTTCTTTCTGAAGTGGACTAGTTTGACTTAGACCCAGTTAAACAGATGTGCAGTTCTTACACTGGGTTGTGATGAAACAGCTGTAGGTCTTTGGGGACTTTGGACTGCCAGAGGCGAGTTTGACCACTAGGTCTGTCATCTGCATTTGGTATGTCTCAAGCCCACATGCCAGATAGCCCTTGGAGACATTGGGAACGTGACCAAGAACAGCTCTCGAGTCTCCGAGGGAGTAGTTAGCTAACAAAATATAACACTACAGGCCAACCAGAACTTCCTGTTTGGCTTTGGGTTTTGGTGGTTGTTTTATTTAAGTTGTTGGTCAAATGTGTTTGTTAAAGGGGACCTATTATGCAAAAATCACTTTAAAGGGGTCTAAACACAATTTGAGATCTCCCTCATTAGCACAAACAGCCCTAAGTAAGAAGCAGCAATCTGCTTTTAGAGTTTTTACACTGTACCTGCTGAAAATAAAAACCAACGACTAAGAGAAATTGTAAATGTGCAGTTTTAGGATGCACAAATGCACACTGTAATCTCCATTGACTACCCTTTTCTGAGCCTCTTCTTTTGAGATTTCCAATTTTTCACAGAGGTAGCATTAGTCCTCTTTTGAATCTGCCACTATGCTGATGCACAGGCGTTTGTAGCTCCATCCTTTTTGAAAAGAGCATTTGCATTTAAAGCAGTAGTCACCAAAATGGCTTAATTTAGATCAAAGCCTAAAAGGGTTAGTTTCTAACGGTTATAAAAACGGTTATATTTGTGTGGTATTTTGAGCTGAATCTTTACTACACACTTAAGGGACATCAGAGACCTATTTGATACCTTGTAAAAAGGGGCATATTAGGTCCTCTTTAAAGTTAACAGAGTGTACCAATGAATAGGAAAAGTGTCTTTAAAATCTTACAGCAGATACTGGAGAACTGCCTAGGGATAGCAAATCACATTCGCCTGAGCTCTCTGGCCTGTCCTACCTGACACATGGCTACGGATGAGATGCAACACTGCCAGGGAGGACACAGAGGAATAGGGTTTAAAACAGAGCCAGAAAAAAAGAGGTATGACCAACAGCTCACAACGACCCCAAGATAGCTCTAAAATCTGGTTGGATGACCTAGATTTTCTCTGCTGTTCAAATAAGTGGCATACCTGTTTCTGCACAATAAATTTTATTAAATTGAAAGTTCACCCAAATAAAAAGACAATCCTTTGACGATATTTACTTATTCTCAATTCATTCCAAATCAGAATGACAGAATATGCTCAATGTTTAATGAAACTTTTTTTTTTTGCATATATTGAAAGTCAGTGGGTTCCAGTGTTAAGTCAAACTTATCTCAAGGTGAATAACACTCATTCTGCAAACATGGACTAAGAAGTGAAAGTTTTCCAAGTTGTGTACTACCATGTTTTAAAGCTAGTTCTCTGTGGCTCTGACCTCAAATATTTTCCAAATATTTTTATATAAACATTTTTGCTTTGAAGACATTTGAAAGTTTATAAACAAACAAATAAACAAAAAATGTAATATTCTCCTTTTGAATGAGTACTGTTTGTTCTTTATATTTGCTTTTGGCATACTGGTGTTTTAATGTTACATTCAGTGCTTGTTCATGCTGAATATAACTTTTTTCATAAAATAAATAATTTATAAAATGGCAGTTGACATAGATTCCAATCATAAACAAGCATGGAAACTCACTGGAAAGTTGGAAAGATAAATTTGCAGAGCCAAAGATATAGGATAAAATGTAGGTCAAGACTTGCTTTGGAATAGTTTCGTGACTCCCTGAATCGAAATTGTAAAGTCCCTAAAGATTCCCACCCCTACTGTACATACTGTATTTTTAAAAATGTGGATAGAAATGTAATACCTTTATAAAACTGACAAAGCTATGAGCAAACCGATGGGATTCAGGCACATGTATGAGGGAAAACTGCTATGTGGCATCCCAGAGGGTCAAGCCAGAGACTCAGTGGGCAATGCTTTATTCTAGGAGGTTGCTCCAGGGAGCATTTTCCACGACTTTTCATCCCTCACGCCTCTCCCAGTGAGCTGGCAGCTGGCATCTTACCTTCCGCTCCTGAAACCTGCGGTTGCTAAGCACGGGTTAATTCACCCAGGGCTTCTGGAGTTCTGCTTCCACTCAGTGAGCATCAGTCACAGTGATATTATCAAGCTAGAATCACACAAACACACTCAATACGGCAGTTTATACAAAGAGAGAATGATAACAGCATAAAGAGAGTGCTTATTACTGATAGATACAAGAAATGCTGAATAAGACAGGCTTTTAAAATTGAAGTAAATAGAGTTTTTAGAGCCACTAGCTCTGTCTAAGCATATTGAAAATGTGTGCACACATTCTCCCTCGCATCTCCCGACAACTGTCTTTGGACAGTGTCTGAATAAAGAGTTTAAATATTAATGCCCACCTTGAAATATTTACAGGTACGTTCAGCTTGGTGATTTAAAGCCTTTTGATATATACTTCTTTGTTATGTACAACAATGGATTTGAATTTGTTTAGAAAGCAATGTTTCATAATTAGCCCATTGCTTCTCTCCATACCAGTGTGCACCAACACGCCTACACACGTATGGTAAAAAAAAAGAAAAAAAAAACTTGACAGAAAGTGACGCTTTTTGTCATGTTTGCATCATGAAGGCATTGATGGAGCCTTGTAAATGAGCATATTCTTGCTTAGGGCTTTTATAAATAGTTTTGCATTTACTCCACCTTTAACTTTAGTCATGCCAAAACGGCATTTACAATAGAAATTAAAAGTTAAGAAAAGGAGACAATACAGAACAATTTCATGCTTTCATTGTCTCACTTGTTGGTGAATACCCTATTTGAGCAACAGGGCAAGAAAGGGTTACAACTATTACAGGAGACCAATCGGGAACCAGAGTGTTATAAACCACAGCAGAAAAAAAGGAGGAAGGGGGAGGGAAAGCGAGAGTGATGAGAGGAGGTGGGAGGGAAGAGAGAGAGAGAGAGAGAGAGAGCAGAGGAGGAGAGAGATGAGTAGGTAGGGCATTTTGAAAGCGCTGAACGTAGGGATGGTGAGAGAAAGACTGAGAGGGAAGGAACAAGGGAGGAGAGGAGAAGATCTCTAAGCGAGATGCATGGCACTACATCCTACAACATCTGACTTCCCTGCCCCCCTGTGACAGTCGAGGGAGCACTCAGAGAAAGGCACAGACAGACTCATCCCTTCAGATAAGCATGTCCTGGATCACTCGTCCTGGCATGGCTGTACTCAAACTGGGAAATATATGGGCTACCAGGTCACTCGCTCTTATGGCAGCAACAAGAGGTAAAAGCTTCAGTTTTCTGTCCTGGAGCATCCAATAAAGGGGAATGCATGGCTTATTATACAAACCATTACTTTAGACATCTATATGAAGTTGACTTTTACTTTTTAAACACAGGGTAAAATGCAAAAATTGCTGTTTAGCATGAGCAGATTTACATTATGCTTTTAACTCAGTGCAGTTCGTTTTTGTGTACAGTGGACAGCAATATTAAATGATGATCTATTTTAAAGAAAAATTGTGCACTGTCTTGATTTGAGAAGGAAAACAAAAGATGCAAGCTGTATTTTATGTGATTCCTCCAGTGGTTCCAACACAGTAACTGACACATTTAACTCTGTTAATGTATGTGGAAAGAGCAAAACTGAGTAATCGAAACCCATTCAACCCATTATCCTCTTAAGGGGAAGATGATGCGAGCACTCTTGTCACTGTTACTGCTTCTGGCTAGTGCTGAAAGCTGCCTTCTAGCACTAAAACAGACAGACATAAAGAGTGAGATATATGCTTAGAGTATTCTGCTCTACATGGAGTAAAGCCCATGCAAGGATGGTGTGGGTGTACTGCAAACTGCTCTCCAAACAACCACTCACACACAGTCACTGTGGGAGTCCATTATTCCAAAGGAACATTAGTTTAATGAGTTGCTATTGAGCTTAAGCTTTTGAACTAATTCCTGAACTAATTACATCAAAGACACTTTCAAAGACCAAAAGTTAGCTATGACTTGAATTAAATTTTCAAAAGACAACTGGAAGGGTCCACAAATCTTTGAACAGCATAAAATAACGGCATTACATCTGTGGACAAATGGCATGCATTTATTTTTCAAAATCCACAATATATTTAGGCTTCTACAAATGCTAAGAGGCTGCCACATTCCTGTAGACAATTTCAAGGTCATTTATGACTCAGACTAACCAATTCTAACAAACATTTTCTTGCATTTACCAGCTGCATAAGTGTGAAACTACTGAGAATGGACCTCCGTTTCTGGTGTCCCACATGAACTCTGTGAAAAAGAAAGGGTAAATATATGCCACACAGTGCACCGGCCTGACTACCTCCTTCCCCCTGGAAACCTGTGACCTTGTTGTGATTACTGTCTACCGCTGTCTACCTGCCTGTTCTCCTGGAGCTGTATTGTGGCACAGCAGGTGGGAATGTGACTTACTCAGGTGGAATACAAAGAGCCATGTACTCTGCAAAAGGACAGTGGAACATTTGTTATATGTTGAGGGGAGAATGTCACTTCTGACCTGTTGCACATTTCTGCCTGTGGTTCACAAACCTTGGAATAAACATTGAAGATGGGACATGGTGTTGTCCGTGATCATTTCTGCAAGATCTGTTTGGCCAAGACAAAGGACAAAAGGCTAAAAACAAGCCTGAATACAACACAGCTTTCATGTCAGGACCACGTGGATATTACAATGCACAAACCCTTCCCACGCTCTGAAAAGGAAGAGCAGAGAGTGTTTCCATCTCCCACATCCTCCCACAGAAATCTGAGGATGCAAGGGAATGAGGTATGAGCTGTTTGGACGGTGTTTCATCAACCCTACAGAGAGGTGTTTGAGGAAACCGGGGTGTCCCCACTTCAGTCTGTGCCATGCTGGGGATAGGGACAGCTGATGCATTTGTTAAATTTTAGCTCGTTTGACATCAGAAAACTAAGGAACAAGAGCACAACGGAGCAGGTACATAGCAGAATGGCACTGAAGGAGCAAAGGACACTGGTAAGATAAAGAGGCATTGGAGTATGGATGGAGTCTATGCCATCTAGTCTAACACATCAGCGCTTCGGTTTGCTAAACAAGCACCTAACGAGGACAGGGAACACAAGGGAGGGGTGAGTTTCGTTAGTCTGAGCACATTTTTTAAGTGAATGTGTTGTAAAGACAAATGTTTTGTGCTTGTTAAATTTTCCAATAATTGTGGTCCCTTATATGTAGAATTTTATAAGTTTAAGTGATGCAAGCATGTATTCGGTAGCATGCCATAGACATAGAATCATTAGAAAAACATCAAACATTTCAAAGACTTGCTACAGAACTGTAAATATATCAATTTTTTTCATTAATTTTTTTTAATCTGTAGGAGAATGCATACCCCTCCTGTGCTGGGATTCCAGGCCATCATGAGCAACGTCACTGTCCTCGATAACATTGAACCCCTTGATTTCGAAATGGACCTGAAAACTCCTTACCCTGTCAGCTTCCAGGTGTCTCTTACGGGTTTCCTCATGTTGGAGATTGTGTTGGGTCTCAGTAGCAACCTGACGGTGCTGGCTCTTTACTGTATGAAGTCAAACCTGGTGAGCTCTGTCAGCAACATTGTAACCATGAACCTTCATGTTCTGGATGTGCTGGTTTGTGTGGGATGCATCCCACTTACGATAGTGGTGGTGCTTTTGCCACTGGAAGGCAACAATGCACTTATTTGCTGCTTTCATGAGGCTTGTGTGTCATTTGCTAGTGTGGCCACTGCTGCCAATGTGCTGGCTATCACACTAGACCGATACGACATCTCAGTTCGGCCTGCAAATAGAGTTCTGACAATGGGACGTGCAGTGGCCCTATTAGGTTCCATTTGGGCATTATCATTCTTCAGCTTTCTGGTACCTTTCATAGAAGAGGGTTTTTTCAGCCAGGCTGGTAATGAAAGGAATCAGACAGAGGCTGAAGAGCCTTCAAACGAATACTACACAGAATTGGGACTGTACTATCACCTGCTGGCACAGATCCCAATCTTCTTCTTCACTGCTGTGGTCATGCTGGTTACTTACTACAAGATTCTGCAGGCTCTGAATATCCGCATTGGCACACGCTTCCATTCGGTGCCCAAGAAAAAACCAAGAAAGAAAAAGACCATCTCTATGACGTCCACTCAACCAGAATCTACTGATGCCTCACAAAGCAGTGCAGGCAGAAATGCACCTTTGGGTATGCGTACCTCTGTATCTGTGATCATAGCCCTCCGCAGGGCAGTCAAACGGCACAGGGAACGCCGTGAAAGGCAAAAGAGGGTTTTTCGCATGTCGCTTCTTATCATCTCCACCTTTTTGCTTTGCTGGACACCCATAACTGTGCTCAACACGGTTATCCTAAGTGTGGGGCCCAGCAATTTCACTGTGCGTCTCAGACTGGGCTTCCTGGTCATGGCTTACGGAACCACCATTTTTCATCCGCTGCTCTATGCCTTTACTAGGCAGAAATTTCAGAAGGTTTTAAAGAGTAAAATGAAGAAGCGTGTTGTGTCAGTTGTTGAGGCTGACCCTATGCCCAACAATGTGGTCATTCACAACTCATGGATTGACCCAAAAAGGAACAAAAAGGTGACTTTCGAGGAGACAGAGGTCAGGCAAAAATGCCTCTCATCAGAGGATGTGGAATGAGCTACTGGGCCGATTTTTGGCAAAAATCCTCATCAGGTACAGAGTCGTTAAAAAGGGAAACCACTAATCCAAAGCAGTAATGAACTTAAGTGTATTAATTGTACAGTACCTGAAGAGGAGTAATTTATTATTATTTATTGTGATGGTGACTACTGTAGATGTCATAGACGTTGAAGTGTAAATACTGCATGTGCTTTATTGAACTGGTCCTAGATATTGTACATACATATCAAAGTATAAACCTCAAATGTAAAGTAGAAAATTATGCTCCTGGGTTTGTGCATTTGCATTAAATTCCCCCGAAATTTGCAGATTTTCTTTTCGGATTTGTGCAATAACACTGGGTCATAATTTTAGGAGTAAAGATTTTTGAATCTATGAAAAAAGAGGTTATATGTCTTCTGTTTTACCTTAAATTTCACTGGTGACAAATAAGCGATAAATACTAAAAAATTTAAAGCATGAGCTTTATTAAGTGGATATCTATTATTTGCCCTCTACCCTGCAATAAAAAAGCGAGATAACGTTACTACTACTCAGGTCAACAAGTCACAAGACTTTCAAAGCAAGGTCTGCTTCCATTTAAAATCACTTGCATGACCAGTTGGCATAAAATTACTTCTTTTTATAGGTATAAACGAGGTGGTGTACAGCATATCGTCCAATAAAGCTGCTGGGGTTATGAAGTGGTTGGGGAGTGTCAATGAAAAGGTGTTGACTCCAAATACTTGACCTTATGATACCCATTGAGCTGTTGGTGTTTAATTATGGGTTAGACTGGATTAGAGGGTGATAACTGTATCTTTTGGCAGGCTGGGAAAAATAATCACACATTGCACTTCATCAATGAAAGGTCACACACCTAGTTGCTTTGGGACAATGTCATACCAATGCATGCTGAAAATTAAGCCGAGAGTTGGCTTGATGTGCTAAAAATCTGGAACGGATGCAAATGGTGTTAGACAATAGCTCGCATTATTCATACATAATTAACAGGCATAATTTTATGTTCGATACTGTGGAGAAATAACTCGCATGGCAATTTATTAGAACCCTTTAAACCAATTGTATCACAATATCCAACAGATTATACAAAGGCATTTGGAGAAAATGCTCTCTGATGAGTTTGGGGTTGCTCATAAATGAAGGTAAACAAGCTGTATAAGCAATTGTAATAGGCATGCAGTGACAAAAATATGATTGCAAGTGAGCAAATGGGGCTCCTGCCAGTCAAAATGGATGCCAAAACTGGGATAAATATGCTTTTAAGTTGTGTTCTGAAAAATTCGAAGTCACATTAGCACTAATAAAATTTACTATTTCCCTTGTTAATGCCAATCCTCAATATTTTAGTGTTACCACTATTGCCTGTATCTTAACTTCAAAGGCTTAGGGCTGCACATATTGGAAAAATCGGACTTTGCAACATTTTGTTTTGCTGCAATTTTTGCCGTATGATTAAAATTAGATGATTTGATATGATTTGAATAGCTCTATTTGAAAAGATTTCATCAATTTTAATCAACTGGGCTGATCAAGTCTTTTTCTATAGAGTGCATTTGCTTAACTTACAAGTAAAAAAAATAAAATAAACAGTAAATAAGCAAATAAACAGTGCATTATTGTTTTCCAGGCAGTTCAAATTCAAATGTACATTCAAATGTAAAATAACATGGTCACCATTGTATGAATAATAAAAATATATTAACAACTTTTAATCTTTAAAAAATAATTTATCCTGCAATGTGACTATTATTATTGCAGATACACAAAATGCGATATCGATACCCACCGAACAATATATTGTTCAGTCCTGTTTAAAAGCACAAAAAACCTAACTAAACCTACTAAAACAAAATGATAAAATAGCATCAGATCTATTAGAAGCTCCCAAGAATCAAATATTCTCCCTTCCGGTCTCTTCTAGAGCCTGTAACCAAACCAAAAGGTGGATTGCATCATCTCTGTGTAGGAACATTCATTTCTGTCCACCGTCTGATTTCATTCACCCAATCTATTCCCCTTACCTTGCTACACTGATCATGACATCTATGTCAGTCATTTATTCCCTAAGGCGTGAGTCACTGAGTCCAAAGTCCCGTGATTGACATTTCATCTTCATTTGACTGACAGGTGCAGTTCAGGTGATGTACAAAACAAAAACCATCAAATCCCCTGTGTAAAGCACCCCATATTAGATGTAAATCTGCCCACTTTTCTGAAAGCAAATAACTTTATAAATAGACAACTCCATTAAAATATTCTGGGAGTTTAAAATAAGAGATCTGAAATAAAATGATCCTGATCATGTCAGTTTGACAAAATATGCTTAGCCACACCCCTCCAACTGTTAGTTTGCTGCAAGTGAAAGATAAAAGGAAGCACAGAAATAACTTCAACCCTGTTTCACTTGAAAATATGCCATCATACTGAAATAAAACGTGATATTTAAATATGCAACATACTTTGGATGTGATTCTGTTTTTAATGTGGTTACATGTGGTGCAAGAAAAAGCAGTTAGGCTATGTAAGGACTTATTAGTGTTGCCAGATCATACTTAAAAACAACACATGAAAAGTATTGTGTCATTGAACCTAAATTCTTTACCTTAATAAATAAGCCACATACCAAAATACTGCAACCCGTACCTGCCTACTTCATGAACACCATAAACTGGACAAGCATTGCTTATAATAAGTGGGCATTGCAACGATTTAAGAGCACTCTCTAGTGAAACCACCTTTTAAAGATAATACTTGAAGATTCTTCAATTGACAATGGTTTAAAATAAATTATCAGCAAACATCAAAGTGTTTAAGCTGTCATATTACTTTGGTCCAAAATAGCAAAACCAATGTACATCAATATGTAAGATAACACTGTGGCTCACGCGGTTACATTTCCCCCACATACTAATATAAAAGAGCACGTGGTTCATCTTACTTCCCATCAGTTTTTATCTGCCTTTGATTTCCTCTCTTCAATGACAGCATCATTCCTTCAGTTTGATCCCACTTCAATCATGCCATTACTGCTGACAGCGGTCACATACGTGTCCTCCGCCAATAAAAACACCTTCACCTCCTTTCATTGCCCTAGTCAATCTCCCCTTAAGCCTTTTACAGTTCTCCTTCAACTGTTCATCAATCCATCTGGTAGCCATCCGTACAGTACAAAGCAGACAATAGACCCATAAATCTTGTTAGTAAAATGGTGTGCTGCCATTATTGTGTTAGGACAGCCATAATTCAGGCTTTTGAGTACACAATGAGATCAACCAAAGAAATATCCAATGGGAAGCAATGATAAAATAATATGAGAAAAAATGAGTGTTTGAATATTGCGCTATAATGGACAGTTTAGCAAAGAAATTGATATACATGGAAGTATAATCCTCTACCCTTAACACATACCCCCATTTTCCTTTAGCTTAGTCTCCATTTCAGAGGTTGTCACAGTGGCATGAACAGCCAACTATTCCAGCATATGTTTTATGCAGCGAATGCCCTTCCAGCAGCAACCCAGGACTGGGAAACACCCATACACACTCATACACAACAGCCAAATTAGTTAATTCAATTCACCTATATCGCATGTGTTTGGACTGTGGGGAAAACTGGAGCACCCGGAGGAAACCCACGCCAACACTGCATGCAAACTCCACACAGAACTGCCTACTGGCCCTGCCGGAACTAGAACCATCGACTTTCTTGCTGTGAGGCGACGGTGCTAACCACTGAGCCATCATGGAAGTATTTTTTAAATAATTAAAATTTTGCATGAGGGCCTGATTACTTCATCTTCAACTGTATATTTATTTGTGCATGGTAGTGTTTAATCTGCCCATCCCTACACTGATACACATTGATGTCTCAGCTAACATCTCCACCAGTTGTGCCACATGGTAAACAGGAAAGCGATTTGTCAATTAAACCTTCAAGGCTCCATTATAATTTACTGATTGTCTTGTTTACAATCCAATAACATGATGCCATCAGCAGTTTTACGAACTCTCAAGCTCGACCCAATCACTGTCCAACTGCATCTCATTGGGTATCTTGTAACAGCATTTAAAAGACACCAGACAGCGACAGACTTCAAAAAAAGCAAGCAGTTTAATTGCTTCTGCGGTTTCAGGGCTGCATCCTGCTGTATTTGAGGGGGAAAAAAAGAGAGACTGTGATCTAACATGTGCCATAAAACATTGTCAAAACCTACAGGCAAAAAGCTTTTCTATCGTGTAAGACAGTATGTTTTTAAACAAGCTGCCTAATGGGAGATTTGTTAGACGGCTTCTTATGCTGGATGCCAGAGAGCTGCACATACAGATAATGATATAAAATCAGACTCTGGCTGTTCATGTTATACCTTGAGGGGGAGGAGGGATGGCATAAAAGCCGAGCATCCCGGTGAAAAAAAAAGGACAGGTACTGTTAGGGCAGTCTAATTGTCTCATCTTGGATGGTGATGCTAATGCAAAGATGTCTCTGTAATCCATTAGCTGGGTGAGACGAATCCAAATATGACCCACACTGTGACATGATAAATAATTCAATGAATAGAGAAAACATTACTGAAACATATTGTGTCACATACAATATAAGACTACCATTCTTCCAAAAGGTACACTGCCAACATTGGCTGAGATATTTAACTGGCAAAAAAGCACCTCATGTAATGCACACAAAAGAGCTGAAACACATTTGTTCATCAAATGGTAGCTAATTTCTTCACAGAGCTTACATTCTGTGATTTCTGTGAAAATGCATGCAGAAATTACTCTAAATTTGGATACTTTCACATCAGAAGTGAACGTACTATGACTTAAAATGCAGTCTAGATGAGCTGTTCACTGTTTTGGAAACACTAATGTGTGTAAGAGAGAGAGAAAAAAGAGAGATGGAAATACTTTGCGTTTCTGTCCACAGCATGAAATGCTAAAAATTTGCATGCGTTCTGAATGCACAATGGAAAACTACTGTTTCTCTACATTGATTTAGCTTTACTTGAAAACAAAAATGCAAATATAATTCGGGAAAAAAAAGTACCTGCTGATCTTCCCTGGAAACGTTTCCACAGGGTCTGGGACTCAATAATGAAGACGTGTTTACTGTACCATATCAAACTTGCAATAAGAACACACTGAATTTGCATCGTACGTTATCTGTCCATATGACATCTAGGCAAATGTACAAACAGAAGGTCAATAGCATAGGAGTCATTATAAATATATTACAGCCATTAAACACAGGAGCTTAAACAAGTTTTACACTTCAGATATAGTCCACAATTACATGAATTCCAGGTAACGCTATGAGAGCGCTCTGAAATTACAGAGAAGATCAGCTGAACAATCTTAAAAGTCAACATGAAACAGTATTCGGGGAGAAAGAAAATCCTGTTTTACTAGAAATGCCACATGGAACAAAATGGAAACAGGATTTAAAATGGAAAGCAAGAGGAACTGATTCATTATTGGATTCAAATGACAGAACAGAGGTTGAGGGGTGACAAGACGACATTAAGAAAGTAAATGGGGTCAATTTTCATTTCATGTCAACTTTAAAGCTTCGTGAGATTATTATAATGCACTCTGGTCACTACTGGCACTAAAGTGACTTGTAAATGCTATTCAGGTCAGCTGATTATTAAGACGGTTTTGATGAAGTGC